TCCATCATTGTTTTCATAAAACTGAGAAAAGTATCACAATAGACTTTTACTCTTCTTTGGTGGACCGTTTAAACCATCCAGTGCCAACATATATTGTATTAGTCGGTAATAATGTTAAGGAAACATGGTTTCTAAGCCTCTATAACACATACTTGCAGAAAAACTTTGTTCTATTTCAATTGCTTATCTTTCCAATAGATTGAATAAAAATTCTTTGAGTAATGTTTCACATTTAATATACTATTGGAATATTGTGTCCCTACGGAAAAACTGCCTTCCCACTTAACTTGAAAATATTTCTTAATTTATTATCATTGGATATTTCAAATATTGGGTTGGAATATAAGTTCTGATAATTTTTTTCTTTTCATCAACAGATTTATTTCCCATCAACGATATGCAATATAAATCAACAATACAATCGCTTTAACATTCGACAACCTGCGACCATTCCACTGGCAATTGTTCGATCTCACGTTTGTAGGAATGAGTTGGTTGTGATTCGACAAATACAGTAAGATCGGATTGTATCTCAGTAAAATCTTCGTACTGTTTCTCAGACAAATAGTTTCGAAGCGATGAAAACAAACGATAATTTGACGATGAAAGATCTGATGAGTATCTTAGAGACTCAAAAAGTTCCCATTCTAACTGACAAATAGCTTTCTAAATGAACACTGCAGCATATAATTCACCCCAACTGCTGAGAATACAGATCAACTATAACTGTTTGCATTGTTTTCCAAAAGCTAGAAATATATGACACTCCACATAATAACGTCAGATACACAACATTGTCATCTGTGGATGTAAATCTGCTTTAACGTTCGGTAACGGTTTTTGATCCGCATTGGACCACTGCGTTCTACAATAAACTTTAATGCAAAGAATCCAGTTCTCATCTCCAGTGATCATACGTTCCAAAAATAGGTCCAAGTTACATGTGAACAACAGCAAAGCACAGGTTGATAATCGCTGAATGAAGCTTCACAGATCGATCTAATCGAGATTTATGCATCAGGGTAGTGTCTCTCAAACAGAAATTGATAAGCCAACGATAATATGTAGTATCGTTGACGGCTCTGCCGTCATATGTGTCACAAATATTTCTTATTGTTACTACAATTGAGTCTTGATTAAACTCATACAACCTACAATGACGAAGTGAATTTGTCTGTCATCCATTTTATTTCAAACAGGTCCACTCTATCTTTTCTATTTATATTCTACTTCGTCAATGAACTTCATATTGATCTTGATAACTTTCCTTTTTCTAAACGCAATTTAATACGCAACTCATATTGTCCAAATTACGACTAGAAATGAAATCATTTTTGCAATAGGATTCGAAATTCTGAGAACTTATGTTCCAACTCAATAGATATGAAGGCGCACTAGACGCATACAGCTAATATCTTACGATGAAATCAAACATCTTGACGTCTATCTTGAGAAAATTTCTCAGTGTAGCAGTTAGTCACTGTTAGGTATAGTGTGTGACGATTTTTAGATAGAAGAACAGCTAGTGCAGATGAAACTGCTCTTTGGTGGATTTTTTCATATCCACAACTGCCTGATGTTCTTACAAAGCATCGACTTATACATTGATCAATCAGAGAGTAGGAAACAATATGAAAGAAAAGAGCAACAAGGAAAAAATAAATGTTTATAAAATAGAATCAAAGTAGTGTACGAAATAAGGACTTAAAAGTAAGCCTATTATATAAAATAAGAAGAAATAGTAAATATCAGGCATGCATTTGCACTTTATCGAGAACGTTGCAATAACTGATCACAAAATTCTTAAAAAACATCGAAAAGCATTTCAATAAAGAAGAATGCTCCTCATCAATCGATTATCTAACGATTTAAAGGTTGAATAGAAAATCTAATCCTACATTTGGCGTTCTAGTCGCCAATACTTTCTAAGAAGATTCCATGAAAATCCCGAAAAATCTCAAAAAAAAATCCTAATTTGTGATTCATTGACTTACTAGGCAACAAGAATGCCACAGATTAAATCTAATTACATATTCGCATCCCTCAATTGCCATTTACTTTTATCAACCTTTATAAAATGTCGAGATTTACCCAAAAAAGTTCTTCTCTTCACCAAGAAAAAAAGAGGATTAGCCTTAAACAAGGCTTTGCATAATTATTTCCGGTAGTACGAATTTTCCAAATTTGACACGCAGTTTTAGATATAATGGTTTTTACGAAGAAAACTTCATTTGAGAAAATAAGAGTCATTAGTAAAGATTAGCGAAACCAGATCGACATTGAACGAACCGAATCTACAATCCGGACGTGAATGTAAGTCAAAGGATAACCGTATCTACATCCGAAAAATTTCCCTCATTGATCATTATTAATAGAGACTCAATTTTCCTTTATCGCTCATGTATTCACATTAAGTTGCTATCAGTTAGAAAAATTCATAGATTTCATTAATTACATAACTCTATCGACACCTGAATTACATAGGGATAACAAGGCCTCTCGATTAGTGATCTGGAAACCTAAGTTGTAGCATTCGATTACTGATTTCACATGAATTCGACGTTTATAACACATTGTAAAAATAAATTGATTATGCATGTGATAAAGGTTTTCATATTCGTCAAAACAGGAGTACTAACGTTTCAAATCCATCATGAGGGCATTTTTCTTTGTTGCGTTCTTTTCTCCAGAAGGACTCTTCTTTATGAATAAGATTATTGAATCTTAACAAGTATGGTGCTGTGTGTTATTTTCGGCTAAGGTAGGCATATAGCAGAGACTGTACCAAGAGAAAATCCATGCGCAGAACCAAACCATTTTTTATACGAAACCGACACCCGCGGTTACGTCACTAAATCCTATACGCGAATGAAACGGCAACAGACACTACAATATAAACTTGCACAGCTCACACCCATGCACACCTGCATCATTATCTTGACGCCCCCTCCCCCCAACAGCGTCTTCAACATCATGCCACCTAAACATAGTGATGGCTCCAACCAAATCTATCCACACTTGCACCACCTAATTAATTTTAACTGCCGTTGTCCGCCCATATTTGGGCCATGGACTCACGGCTACCTATTCTAATATCCTCAATCCACCGTCATAAAAAATTTCATAAACTCTATGATATGCTAGAATTTAAAGTTTCCAGAAAGTTATCTCCCAAAAGTTTGAGATGGACAATCTCTGACTTCATAATTTCGCATACCATAAACATACGATTCCTCCAAAACTTATCACTGAAACTCACTGATCAGATGATTTTCCATGTTGAAAGCATCGCTATACGATATTATGTTTTCTTCCAATACCACAAGCAAACCCACAAAATATTTTTATTTTTCCGTATAACCCTCTCTTCAAACGAGGAAGTAATTCGGTAAACGTAAAACTTCCAGAGTCTGACATAAATAATACGCCCATCTGATAATCATCTTAATAATCTTTCTATTACTGATGAATTCACTCGAAAGAATAATTCTCTTTTGAACAAACACGTCCGTTCTATATTTTCATAAACTGGCTTCAAGAATCACACCTGAAAAAAAAATACTTGCACAAAACTGATAATGAAAATAGACTTTTTGAAGTCACACACCCACCCACCCTTCAAGGTCTCCTCCTCCCTCCCCCTCAAAAACCGATCTCATCTCAGGTATGTTCAAATGGCCTGAAATTTGGAGCATATGTTGGGACTAAAGTAAGGAGGCTATGGTAAAATTTTCAGCTCGATTTACTGACGTTTGACGGAGATAGGAACCAAACAAGGGTCAAAAATAGGTCATCTTAGCGCCAAAAAATCTCCATGGCCCTTCATTACATATTCAATTTTTTTTTTGAAAGCTTGTCTCTCGGGCTAGCCTACCTCGTGGCCTTTTTTTTTAAATTCGCCCTTTTAAGCGAAAAAGAAGGATGAAAAGTTCGATGACTCGAAAATTTCCTAAAAAATGGTGCTTTTTCCGAAGAGATGTGCTCTTATATGATAATAAAAGGCTTATTTTGAAAAAAGGGCCACGAGATAGGCTAGTCCTAGAGACAAGCTTTCAAGCAAAAAAAAATATTTGGCTTCATATTGTACTGGGGGAGAGAAGCGCTGGCGCTACTCCGTCGAAACCATGTTCTGAGAAAAACGCGAAACAAGTTTTTGAAGAAGAAATTTTTCGAAAAAACATTGTTTAGTTTTGCAAATATCTCTGCAGAGGCAAATGGTAGAATTTTGATTTTTTTTCATGAGATCCGCTGTGAAAAGCTCTCGAAAAAGTCGAAAATGGAAATATTCAGATGAAGACAACTGAACTGTTGAAATAGTAACTTTTTAGTTTCTTTTTATATAAACATATTTCTTTTTTTTGCTATTTGTATATGTGATAAAAGATAACTTAGCATTATCTTAATAAAGTTCTTTTTCTTCTTCGTATTTGTTTGGGATTATCTATGTCAGAGAAGCTCATTTACATAAAGTATTTGGATTTCAAGCAATATCGATAACTTGATTAAAGTACTTATTTTCCATGCGAAAACCTCAAAATATTTTTTTTCTAGAAAAAAAATTGCGTTTTTTAGCAGTCGATAGCAGAAAAGAATTAAAAACTTTGTCAAAAAAAGGGTGCCCAATAAAAAAATCATAGTGTTTCTGAAAGAGCAGAACTTGGGCTATCTTCCCATGTATTTATCTCAATTTCCATTTTTCTGGCGAAAATTGACTTTTTTGAGGGGGAGGGGGGCTCAAATAGGTTATCATATTCATTACACATAACAGAGTAAATCATGGCAGTTCAATTACAATAATAAGCTTCAACAATCTGTATAACTTATCTTTGAAAAAGTTGAAGTGAAAACAAAAGTAAATGTTTCCTTATTGGTACATAAAACCAATTCAAATCGTTTAATATCAGTATTTAACAAAATAATTTCTCTGCCCATTTTCTCACGACACCAAACTTCATTTCGTATTTAACCGAGTATCGTATGTTAATTATTTTTAGATAATCATGGAATTGCTAGTAATGTCCGGCAATCAAAGTTTAGACAATACGAGCACTAGTCCATCTGATAGCTTAGAATTTTCTCTACCACATATTGCTCGATTTTGGATTCTTCTTCCATCCGATATCATATCTATATTTTGCACACTCATTGTTTTCATTCATGTTCTTATCAATCGAAAAGCACGTCGCAGTGTCAAAAATCATGTTCTCGTTGCTATGCTTGTCTTTGATGTAGGTATACAAATAATTGATATACCTCTGTATCTTAACTTTATTGTGCATTCCATCGTTTTTCCAACAAAGACAGCGACTTGTCTAATTTGGGTTTTTACCGATATTGGCTTGTATAATGGAGGAACAATACTCATGGCCTGGATGGCATTTGAACGACATATTATCGTATTTCATGATCAATGGATATTAACAAGAAAAAGACGCATCATTGCACATTATATACCATTATCATTTTTAATATTATATATTTTGATATTTTATATATATTCTACTTATTTTCCTCCTTGCCAAGATGCTTATGATTTTACATTACCAGTTTGTGGTGCAAGTCTTGGCTATGGAAATGGATTTATGTGGATATGGGATTCGTTTATGAACACATTGATTCCGTCATTACTCGAACCTTTTTTCACTTTGATTTTTCTTTTACGAGTAATTTGGCAGAAACATCGTTCGCATCAACCGATTCAATGGCGTAAACAACGAAAAATGACAATTCAACTCATGTCATTTTCTAGTCTCAATCTGATTCTTACTGTTCCGCTCAATATTTTATATATAATTGATTTCTGTAGTATACCAATATATGTTGATGCCAATTTCAGCCAGTATCTATTTTTTTTCGCATATTTTGTCCCTTTGACTTTTCCATTTATGTGTCTCATGTCGATGATTGACGTAAAGCGAGTATGTCAAACAAAAATAGTTTATTATCGAAGACTATTTTCAAGGGTCGCAGCAACAATAAAACCAGAAGACCATAGAACAAATATGAACACTTAACATTAATTGAAACATTAAGAAATTCAGTTATTGTTGTATGTCTTTGATGTTGTAGCGAACTTGACAAATAAATATTTAAGCCGACTTTTATTTCTTTGGCAATTCGATACGATAGACTTTTCAAGTGATTAAAAATGTAGTATATTTAATGAACTATAACTGAAAGTTAATGAGAATATCTATTACTCTATTGCGACTCGAAGTCATTATATAATATGTAGCTCTTCACAGTTGTGTAACAATCTATAGAACTATTTTCTTCTGTTAAAACCTTGAAGTTCAGAACTGTAAAAAGTACCTATTCAAATAGAATTTTTATTATTATGAAAAGTAAATGTGTTCCATATTCGCTGATAACTTCAATTAAATTCAGAAAAATGAATTGTTTACTTCTAGTGAACCGCCATTATTGCGTAGACACACCAATTCTGATTTTGAAAATCACTTAGAAATTTCTCAAATATATTGAGATCTTACTTTTTCTACATTGCAATAACTCTAATTATCTGACACTAACATCTGGTAATCGCATGTTTTTTGTAAAAAATACAAACGTCATCTAAACAATTCAAATTAAATAACGGCTAAAGGCCTTATTGAAGACATGAAGGAACGTTGCTGCATCACCAACTATCAACAACTGAACTAATTCTATATGATCTGTTTAAAAGTTTCATGCTGTTAAAAAAATCATTTCTGCATACGAAATCTTGTTGTTGTTTGTGCGAATTAAAAGACAAGTATTTTTCTTCGAGAAAAATTTCAAGAAACAAAGTAAACAAGAATTGTTGTGAACTTTTCATTAAAATAATATACGTGAAGCAGAGATGTCTATCGCGGTTAAAAAGGGGAAAAAGGACTTTTGATCACCACAAAAAGATAGTTTTGACCACCAAACAATTAAAAATACAAATCATGACCCGTAAAGGATTGTTTTGATCACTACATACTTTTAGATACAAATAATCACCGAAAAAAGATACTTTTGATCACCAAAGTTTTTAAATCGTTGTGATGTTGCATCATTGCTAGTTTGTTTATCCAGTATCACTTGCATTTCATTAGCTTTCATAAGTCACGTGTTGAAGCATTAAGTACACGAAAAAGGAAAGGACGTTCCAAGAAAGTTAGCACAGCTTACGATAAAAAGAAATTAATAAAGTTGTTGAAGTGTTCCTTGTTTGTTAATTATTTCATTTTTTTTTGGATGTTACATTTTTTGGGAGAAATAAATATATTGGATGAATGTTGAAAAATCTGGTGATCAAAAGTAACTTTTTTGGGTGATCATTTGTATCCAAAAGTGTGTGGTGATCAAAACAATCCTTTACGGGTCATGATCCGTATTTTTAATTGTTTGGTGATCAAAACTATCTTTTTGTGGTGATCAAAAAAACTGTGACCCTTAAAAAGTGACCGCTGCCGCGCCGCGATGGTAACACCAAAAAGGCTAACGTACCGCTACGGCTCCACGGTGAGTAAAACAGAAAGCCTACCGTGACGCTGCCGTACCGCTCCCAAAACTAGCAATGTCACAACCGCGCCGCTGCCGCAATGATTTTCAGAATAATGATGTGAATTTTACGACCTGTGACGTTCAGAACCAGAACTTTTCTCACCAATCGATAAGACTCGTTGAATCTCACAGTTCTGCCCTTGCAAATGCTGAATTTCTGTTGAAATTCATGCATTTTTGCATTTTTCTCCGGAAAAAAATCTACCGCTACCGCACCGCACCGCGATGGACATCTCTGCCTTAGTCACAATTAATTACTGTAACAATATACGACAAAAACTGTCAAAATTCAATACTTTCAGTTTATGATAATTTTTTTTTCTTATAACTCAAATCTATCTAGTCTTAAAAGCTTAGAATAAGCTGGAACTCAACTCTTATTTCAAGATATTCGTAGTTCATGAGCATGACATAATGTACGCAGTGTTGAGTCAAAAAGCAGTAAACATTGATTGATATCTTGAATTTAGCTCTATTTAAATTATATGTCCTATGCAAGAAAATAAATGTATTCATGAAAATAGAGTTTTGAATGATTTAACAGAAAACTGGTAAATGAACAATGCAATAATTCTCATTTTTAATCAGATTGTTTTGTGGATTATTGAATAATAGATGAATGAAAAACTAGTTGTAGCTTCTTCTCCTTGAAATCCTCTTAGCTTCGATGTGGTTGAAGAAATCTAAGTGAAATACAAATACATGCATTCTCGAGAATGTGTTAGTTCGGCATCTTCATACAATGAATAATTTTAATTTTTCACAAAGCAAAACACTTATGATTTATCATTGATGCGAGGTTTAACAAAAAATCATGATATGACAACCATCCATATAACATACTAATAGGAATACTTATTCAAAAGAGGAAAACACTGGTTTCGGTCAAGTTTTAAAGAAATAGAACAGCAAATATGAACAACATAAACTGGCCTAGTCTATGATTTAAAAAGTTAAGCAGAAAATGTTTACTAGATTTTCGAGATTGGTAAAAGACAACTGGTTCAAACCAATTTTTTATTATTTTTTCCGACTTTATACTCGGTTTTTCCTTCTGAAATAACATGAAACATGCT